GAGATTCACAAAGTGCTGCGCCTGCCACGAAATCTGCACATCGAGATGCACAAAGTGCTGCGCCTGCCACGAAATCTGCACATCGGAGATCCAAAATGAGCAAATTGCACGAGGCTTTCGCAAATTTTCAAATGCGTTTCAGAAATGCTGTGCCTGCCACGAAATCATGCCTGCAGGTCATACGAAATGCTGCACTGGCCACGCAAAAGCATCCTCAAGTTCAAATTCCAAAAATGCGACCCCTCTCACGAATTCACCCGCTTCACCTCAAAATATCGCATCCATGGTGCGGATGCCCTGCACCTGCCACGTGAAACGCAATCCTGCGAATGACACACGCCTGCCAACGTTTTTGCAACGTCCACAAAACACTGCGCCTGCCACGAAATTTGCAAAGTCTCCGATTCCTTGCACCTGCCACGTAAAATGACCTTTTCGAGGCTCCAATGTGTCGAATTCCTTGCGCCTGCCACGCAAAATGCACTTCATGTCCGAAAACGAGCACGGCACCTGCACGAGAGCTTTGTCCCGGAAGCGCGAAAGGCGCGGCCACCACTTTATGCGAGCCTGCGCAGTCGAAATGGACATGAGGAATTCAAAAAGTCACTTTTGTGCGAGCCGGCCCACGCAAACTGCCGCGCCCACACGCGCGAACCCTGATCTAAACCCGCTTAACTCTTACCGTAAGAACCCCTTAGTGCGGAGCACTATTTGGGGAAAAAAAGCACAAAGGCCTCAGTCAAGTTCCAACCTGGATAAAAACGGCCGCGCTCCACGTATTGACCCTTTGGGTAGTGCGTGGTCGCATTATGCGCCCATGTAGAGACGTGGGAACCTGGAATCAAGCGCTGGCCCCTCACAGCAAAAATAAGGCCTGCAAACCTTTTTAAAAAGAGCCGGTCCGTTGGGCAACACACTCAAGAGACCACTTCAGCCTGCAGAACAAAAAGGTCAACTCGATATACCCACGGGAATAGTTAACATCTTGTATCCACTTGAGAGACTGCCAAAAGCCAATGAACGTTTTCACATCAGCAGTACAGAAAGTCTTTCTCAAGTCAGTTTCAACTTGCGGATCTGCAGCTGGAAGCCAAGAAAAATCGAAGCATCAAGACTCCAGCACCAAGAACGAAAGCGTGCTTTCACGTCAAAAGCCTGAGTTGTTTCACGATGTCTGCCCGAAGACCTCATGGGCCAACTGGGCGAAAACTTTGGGATGGACAGGTGCCAATTCTTTGGCCAACGCTCCATGCTGACAGTCAAAACCTCGTTGTTGAGCAACAGCAGGAATAAGATCTGCCAAACCGATGTCATCACACTGGTGGGCCGGTATCCAAGACACTTGGATTGGACGCAGCGAAAATCTGCTGCGGTCATTCCAGATATTCAGATATTGGAACGCGAACATCCCCAATGCCCACAGAAAGGCCCGCGAACAGGGTCATGTGAAAAACACCTAATGCCTGATTCAAGTTGAACACCAACGAACGCCTCTGCTGAATGGAAATTGGAAACATGGCCTTCGAGATTTTGAGAAACATCATCTGGGTGGGTGTGAATGTAGCGGCAAAATTGCGAATGGCCTTAAAAGCAAGAGCAACACACGGATCCACAAGGCATGGTTGCGCCAACAAACACAGGACCAGCATTTTAGATCTCCAATGAGGGCGATTCTCCCAAAGGGCTGTGACAATGTCAGTTTGGAGGTCACTGATAACCTTTTTGGGAACCTCAGAGATGCCAGCAGCAAAAGAACACGGGGATAACTTTTGCGGCAATCAACTTGGCTTTGGTTTTCCTTTTGGCAGGAACGGCTCCGATGTTTTTGATAACAGCGCTGATTTTGTAAACTTTGTCTTGGGTGCAGGCACGTGCGTTTCTCTGCGATGTGTAAATGATGGCACCTAATGCATCAAACTCAAGCGCCAAAGGAAAGTCAGGAAATTTTTTCTTTTGCCTTCTGATGGCTGGTGGTCGAGGTAGCCCACAAGGCACTCTTACTCGGATTGAGTTTTTGCCCCACCAAGTCGGTCCACAGAAGGGTAACCTGAAAAGCGAACTGCGGTTGGATGTGCTGAACACGCACCCAAAGATACGCACATCGTCAATGAAGACCCTACATGAGACATGTGGAATTAAAGGCACATTAATCGCAAGGAGCGGTACACTGCAACCTTGGGCAACACCGTTTGCAGCGGTTGAGGCCGTCTTGGAAACCCATCCTCTATACGACAGGTGCCTCTTAAGGCCAGAGTAGGTTTTGAGAAAAACATTCACTAAACCTTAAGCGAGAAGAAGGCACCTGCCACAGCAGGGATATAATACGGTGAGAGCACTTCGACTGGTCAAGCTTTATGCCAACTAAGTCGACATGGTCAGCACTTGCTTGATCGAGCTCCAAGCGCAAACCAACTGAGATACATTCCATGTTTCTACCTTGATGCCACCACAAAGCTGTGCTGGCAGGGTGGTCCTTTGCCATTCTGGGAGTTGGCGAAATCTTGTACCTGCGTATGCCAGCAGGAGGGGTGAGAGGATGGTGATTAACCTCTTATTCAACGGGGTGGACGGACCGGGTTTGTTCAGGATAACCTGTTTTGCGCGTGTGAGAGAGAACTTCTGGGATGGACGAGTGGCAATCAGACTCGAGCCGGTTGAAGAACTGTGCAACTGCTTCGCAGCAGGTCTGGGAAGCTTCTGCAGGTCAGTGGTGCGCCAACCATCGAGGCCGGGTGCAGCCAATGGGTTCCTATCTTGGACTGTTTGCATTCTATCCTTATCCTTTAAAGGGGAGAGCTCAATAGGCTTGATTTCCCGGTCAATGTACGGCCACACAGCAGCGAGGATCTTCACGCAAAACATTGGAACTGAAAGCACCGTCCCAGTCATCGTTGATGGCAGCAATAGCTTCGTCCGGCTGGAAGATGATGTTGCCATGTTTATCGAAGACTAAATTAGTCTGTTCATCAAGGGTTTTCTTCTTCAGGTGGTGGAATATATATATATATATTTCATCGAACCCTGTTCGGCTTCTGCAATACGGCATTTCCAAATTTTGTTGCGCGAAGCTTTTTCAGCTTTTTCCCAAGTCTGAGCCTCAAATTGAATCCACTTAATATTGGCATCAAGTTCCACAAGTGACGGAGAAGTGTGAGCGTTCCAAATGAATGGAGACTCCAGGGCAGTCAAACCAGCATGGCATTTATAAATCGTTCTCTGAGTGATCTTCCAATCTTTGGGATTCTTAAGTCCTGGGTTGACACGAGTGCTCGCCTCAGGCAATCTGCTCAATGTATTGTACAGCATGGAACCCGTGGAGGTTGCAGCAGACCCTGTAGGTAGTTGCCCAGGGCAAATGGCTTTGGAAAAGAATTCAGGCAAACATCATCTTTTCCGTTTGCCATTCCCCCAAAGAGGCCCCTGCATGGAGTGTGAAGACAAAAGTTGTTAACTTTGGGCCAGTGCTCCTCAAAAGAACAGTCAGACCTCTGGAAAACGGAGTGCTTAGTCTGAAGGACTTTAGCTAAATCATCTACCCACTTGGCAACCTTAGAATTACCAGTAGGTAGTCTGGAGGTGTCCAAATCCGCAAATTTGACAAGTCTCGTCCCCAGCGCCCCCCGGGTCGGATGCGTCATGGCGCACAAAGTTCACCACCGATGTGTCCTTCCCACCGATGGCGTCGATGATTTCGGAGAACACGCCAGACCTTTGGTTGTACGCAAGCTCCGCTGCGGAGCGAGGCTTGCTTTCAGCAGTGAGGAAGCCAGCGTTGGAGCTGGCCAACAATGTGCTGGAGGAGACCATTTGGACCGCGGCGAACATGCCGGTCGTCTGGTCCTGCGTTGACGCTGCAGGCTGCATGCCCGCGCGAATGGGTGCGAAGCGGTCGCTGCGCGCTACGCTTCGCCAGAATGCCAGCGCAAGGCGTTGGGCAACGGTTTGCTAGTGAAGCCTTGCTTGAGCCAAAATGGCTAGTGAACCTTCCACCTGTTCTTGTTGAGTGGGAAACAAAACATGGACATAGAGGCCGTGCACGAGTCATAGCGTAGTCACAGTCAGGTGCTTCCGCACCTGAAAAGAGTGGTGTCCAAATGGTCCAAATGTTCAGCTTCACGGTGATCCCAAAGCATCCAGGCAACCCACGAGGTCGTCCCAGCGGTTCCAGCTTCGACGAGACAGCCGTAGACCGAACCAAACGCTGACTGGTTCAGTGTATAGTCGTGGCTGCATGGGATCTACTGAACCAAGACTTGAATTATAAGGACTGAACAGTAGTATAAGGACTATAAGGACTTGGACTATAACGACAGGATCTCCTGCAGAGTTTCACCAGGACGGAACCAAACTGCTGCTTGTCCCCGGGCCTTCTGCAGGAGATCCACCGCCAGCTGCGCTGCTTGCTGCTCCTGCGCCTGGTCGAGGGGCGTTGTCCGTGGCCAGTGCTCCAACCAGCCTGGCCAAGGCGGCCAACAGACCGGAAACGACTTAAACGTGTGTCTACGTGTGTCTGTGGTTCTCTCAACTGGGAGACCGACCGGTTCACTAGAGAACATGAACACTTTGGATTTGCCTAAGGAACTGGAAAATTAAAAAAAAAAACTTCTAAGCAAAAGAATGGACGACGGTTTGTACGGAGGTCAAGCTACCGTTTCGATGCCTTCCAAAGTTCCGGGCGCTTTTTCCCACAGCCATGTCCATCCAGAACCTCTGCAGAGCTGTTGAATCCCAAACGAATAGTTACAAACATTCGGCACATACATGGGGTAAATGTATACGTACTGTATACTCTTCCTTGGTTTTATCCTGGTTCCTGCAACAGTGGATGATGATGGGTACTAAAGGCCTTCCTAACGTTGTTTTAGTGATTTGCTTGTTATTGCTTGTTGATCGACTGTTAGCAGGACACCCCCAAGCTATTCCGTCCATGGATGGTCTGGGAATGCTCACCGCTCACCCCTCTTCTCCTCAGGCCGGCCGATTCAGCACCTCGCCGCTCGAGTTTGGCCAAGCGCTCGGCATCAAGCACGGCCAGCCGCATGCAGCTCCTTGCCCCATGAGCCCATGAGAGGAACCCACTCACAGCCTGTTGAGGCTACCAGCTCCTTCCGGATGAGTCGGAGAATTCCTGATATAGTTACTCCCTAGGGCTCCAACCATATCCTCAGAAGGTGGGTAGACTCGACCTCCCAAAACCCACCCCAACCACCGAACCTCAGCAGGTGGGCCAGGAGCCCACCAAAGATTTATACCATGATTATACCCTAGGGCTTTAGGGATCTGGTCGTACCTTCTCAGGTTAGGTGATGGGAGACACTGCTATGTAACGTCTAGAGGGTCCAGTCGTACCTTCTCCTTCGGCCTAAGGAGGAGCCCGACGAATTTTATCAGCACCATTTCTTTGAAGGCGAACCGTTCATGGTCACCGGACGTCAAACCATTCGGAACCTGAGCTATGGCAGCCATAGTTCCACGATGTTCCACGGTCTGACGGATTTTGGACCATTTGATCTGATCCATCTACCATTTTAGTCTCCTGTGAAAATCTGAAACTAGATCCCCGTGACTCAAGTTCCAGTTGGTGGGTGAACAACTGGTGGCAAGCTCGGGCTTTGCCTGAAGCCCTCAACTGGGGCTTTGCACCAAAAGTTGGGCGGTATTGCAAGGATTCTTACACATCACTGGGTGATCAAATGGTGATAGCTTCACATGGAAGTTGCACCTTACAAAGGTCCGTGTCCATGTCCAACCTGTTGCCAATGTCAACGGAAGCTTTCCCTAAACACTCCAGTGATATCCATTGATGGCATGTTTACCTTCATTGATGTGGTTTGAGAGGTCAATGTCAATGTACTTCCAGTCCCACGGAGTTATTCCAGTCCCACGGAGTTATTCCAGTCCCCCGGAGTTGTTGATGGCAAATAGTTCCCCACCGGCCCTGCAAATTTTGGGGAACCGGTCTTGCAACCTTTGGTGACAGAACTTACTAGCAAGTGGTGAACAGGGACTCCGGTGGTTCCCGGGTGACAGCCGTCGCCCCCTCCTAGCCAACAGCTAGCTAAAATCGTCTTGGCTGGCTAGGCCGGCTTGGCTGGCTGATCACGAGCTTTTGCACGCGGGAACGCCTCCAATATCCTCCAACTGAAACCAGGATTTGTACTGCGAAGTGCTATGAGAGCTTGCATCAAACCGTCGGAAGATTCATTGATCACTCGGGGTGTGCTGTGAACCACTGGTCACCGAATTGAATAGGGCTTTGCTATCACAGGATTTCAAGGCGCAAGCGATGTATCGAATACTGAATGGACTGAATACTCACCTGAATCTTCCAACTAGCCTGCCTCCTTGGGCTGGGTTTTTTCTCAAAAAAACGCGACCCGACCGCGACCCCAAGTGACACCCACTTGGACGAACGACCGCCGACCCGGGCCCGTTTTCATCCACTTTCTTGCTCGCCGTGGGGCAAGAAGGCAGGATCCACGTCCCGAGCGAGCGGCACGATGAGATTCAGCGCCGCGTTCAGCGTGCAGCCATACCTCATCCACCGAGCGTCGACCAGTGTAGAATGCCCCAGTGTTTGGGTCCGTTCGAAAGGAGCGAGCCCCGTAGGCCCCACTCGCGCTTTCAGCTGCTGCGTGTTGCTCTTGGAAACTGGTTACTTATTGGTTGCTTGATATCTTGAGCGATTTGAGGGAGGAAAGTGCGGATACCATTTTTATCCATGTTTAAACCTCGCACTGTTCATTCTTACCGACCACTGAGAAATGTGTTGCCACTTCACCATGATCATTGATGCACTTGATTCTGGAGATTCTTGAACAGCCGGCTGGCCAAAGCTCTTGTGCACACCTCTGCTCCCCTATGAAAAACACTTGAGGTTTCAGACTGGTCAAGCAACCAAGCATCCTCGTGGATCAAAACCCTGCATATTCTGGAGAACAACCACCATCTGCCGACGACGTATCGGGTAATTCTCAAACAGGCCACTTCTGCATCATGGGCAGTGCTCCTTTGGCCCAGGAAGGCAGCGGAAGCTTCAACTGCGCGCGATGCTTCGCCTGGGGGTCAGGCCGCAGCTATAGCGATGCAAGACATCGTTGGCCGGGCCAAAAGCGAAACGGTCTTGGCCCAAGAGCCTCGTTGAGGGTTCCAGAGTCCCAGATTTGGGACCCTGTTTGAAAGCTGTGACATCGCAACACCCAAACACTCCGTCTGGCAGCCAGGTACCTGGCGATACCTGCATTGACTATGGCATACATGGAGGGTTTGGGAATAAAAAGTGGTAGCTTGCGGCAACTTGCGGTAAATTGTGCCATTCTCAAGCAAGCTCATACATATCACCGTAACGGGTGCCAAGAACAAAGCCATTCACTGCAAAGTATGGCAAACTGGGCCCGTGTCGCTTTGACCAAAACGTGTCGCTTTGACCAAGAAGTAACCGCTGTACAGGAACTTGTCTTAACTTAGCTTATCTTATATTATCAATCATCTAAGGACCAGAATGAACCCTACTTGTGGTGCCAGGGCACCAGCCACTGACAACATGGCCACTGACAACATGGCCCAAGAACACCCAGGGTCTCGCCCCTGGTCCATGCTTCCTTTCTGGCCCTGAATCTCCTCCTCAGATCAAAACTGCATCCTGACCCTAAACTCAACAATTGTCTCCTAGGAAGCACTGCCACCTTCCAAGCTTTGGTGTTTGCGGGAGGTGAACTGCATGTGCTTCAGTTCCATTCGCTTCAGTCCAACAAACCAATCCACGTGAGCCCAAGGTGTTGAGCCGCGAGCCACGGCAAGCCACGGCGTCCACCCCTTTAAGTAAGCCGGCAAGCAAACTCCGACACCACAAAGTACAAATACTATGTATAATGTGATGTGAACATGTCTGTATGGGAGACGTCACCTCCATTTCTGAGTACATCAACACCATCAAGTCGACCTCTTTGGGGGACAACTGTGGCTGCCACCTTCGTGGGTCAACCAAAAGACAGCTGGCACGGTGGCCTCAGACCCCCGAAGACCCATGGTCTGCGGCAAAGGGGCCGTGAGCCACACGCCGCGAAAGCCTCGCTTCCGCCGAGCAGTCCAGTGCGGTACTTTGATGTGCCGCGTGTTCGCCCCAAAAAGTCGGTTTTGGTTGGTTCTTGGCAGAAAATCCCAGAGGGCCTGGTTGGAAGCATGGACGTCTGAAAGGGCGTGGTCTCCCATATCGGTGGCGGTCACAGCGCGCGTGCTTCGTTTGTCTCACGGACATACCACCCCCACCGATGTGCGAGGCCACCTCGCACCTGCCACGATGGTCTCGGTGGTCACCGTTTTTGGTCCGAATCCATGGAATCACTCTGAGCGGTGGAGATCCGTGGGGATCCATGGAAATCCATGGGGAATCCGTGGGAAGCCATTGCATGGTCAACCAAGAGCAAGCTCATAGCCCGTTTGGGCTCGTGGCCGACCTCCGGAACCTCCTGAGGTTCGGTGGTTGGGGTAGGTTTTGGGGGTCTAACCACCGAACCTGAGGAGATGGGCCAGAATCTCAGAAGCCCTAGGGAATAGCAAGCTCATAGAAAGATACACTCCCTGGAATCTGCGTGACTGAAGTTTCGGTGGAAACCACCTGAGTTGGATTTCATAGTCATCCTTACAGGTTTATGCCATCGACTTCCATGATTCCAGGGAGAGTGTCTGCTCCTTTAGTTTCATGGATCATCTTTAGTTCATGGACTCCCCAAACCTAACCTGAGAAGGTACGACCAGATCCCTAGGGCTACATCTGCCGTCCCTGGCCGCTGGCCGCCCAGCGGCACAGGGCGGAGGCGTCCGTCAAGCGAAGGTCCAGAAACAACAACTCCTCAGAGGCGTTCATGTCCTGAGAGGCGTGCCAAGAGTGTTTGAGAGACCGTAAATAGGACCCTACTGGGGTAACTATGGGAGATAGCCATGGATAGCTATACCCCATAGGACCCGCAACCTGGGGTTCCCAACTGGGATAGTAGCCCAGGGTTCTTCAACCTCTCTTGGTAAAGTTGGCACTCCGACTGCTCCATAGAACGGGTGTGGTGTGACGAGTTGTGACAAAACAGAGTTGCTGATGGCCCACCCTCCATCTACACAACATAGAAACATAGCAAACTGGACGGGGCGGGTGTCAACCATGTCAAATCCCAAACACTCCCATGTATGGCATATTATGGCATATTCACATACATTGGGGTGGTTGATTTCAGGGATCAATCGGGCGGCATCTATTCCAATCCCATGGAGTGTCTTTTTTTTTTCACGCGATATAGATCTCAAGAACAATATAGATCACACTGCCCGCCCAGCGCCACGCTTTTGCCGTCACCGCAAGCCGTCACGAGTTGTTTGGCAGCATCCAGGTGCCCGGCGTTCGATGGCAAAGAACTCCAAGAACTTTGGAATCCCTAGTAGCAAAGGGCATCGCTGCTAGGAGCAAGGATGCTACTACGGGCTCCTGGCCGTACTACTAGGAGCAACAAGCTACTAGGAGCAAAGGGCATAGTAGGGGCTCGAAGTGGAAAACTGTGGGGGTCCAATTGATTGACGAGTTGAGTTCAAGGTCGGAAAGCAAATGCTTCCAAAGACGAAGACCCTAGAGGACCATGTTTATATGTCAAATGTCCATAGATGTCCTGTTTTCTTTGTCAGGTGGTGTTGGAGGTAAAGCATGGTCTCCAAGAGTCTAACGATACGCTTTCAAAGGTGAGGCCATTGGATCGGGATTGGTTCAATTGGAAAAGTTGGCCCGTTCATTGGCGGGTTCAATAACGCTGCTTCACCTTGGTGAGAACCAGTAGATATCATATGATATCATAAACTCAGTATATCCACAGTTCTGGTCGAGGCAGTCGTAGAAGTCACTATGCCACTATGCACCTTCAAAGTCCATGGCTACTAGAAAACCCTACATATATAAATACCTACTAAGCAGTACTTGGCGAGCTTTTTGCTCAGGATGGAGTTCCTTAAGGAAAACATGATCTCCATGGTGGCCTCGGTCCTCACATGGCCTTGGTGATGGTCACCTCACCTCCTTCAGGCTCCACCCCTCACCCCACCTGCCAGATGTGAAACCAATCAGCTTGTTGTGAAAACCATTGCTTCATTCAATTATATTGATATATTATTATATATTATATATATATTGTTTCTGAAAATTAAACATATCTATTTCCATTCTTATATATTGTTTCTGAAAATTACACTTATCTATTTCCACTCTTATATATGGTTTCTGAAAATTAAACACATCTATTTAAGTTCCATTCTTCTAGGCAATCATTAACAAAAATCCAATTTGATCCAAACACATGGAGTCTGCAAAGTCCATCGACGGCGGTCACTCCCAAACACTCCATGGCACTGGCCTGGCCATGAAATAACTTGACCACTGAAGCCACAGCAATGCCATGCAGGCATGTGTATAGTACACATATATATATATAGTTATTTATTGTAGTTATGTAGCTTCGGAGTGTCCCACCTTCTAAGGAGATACTTGGATCCCTAGGGATAGATATGTCGCCATACATGGAGTGTCTGGACTGATGGAACTGTTCCACTGGCCGTGGATCTAGCAGTTCCACTCAGTTCCCAAACTGAAATCGCGCCCGATTTCTCGGGCGGGAGTCCGCCATGGGCTCGGCGCCAGGCAGGCTTTTTCAGACCAAATCTTGTGTCTGATCTACCCAAAACGACTGTACATCTGATCTGATCTCAACTGAGATGCTGCTACTCCCCCTATGTCATCAGCCTGTCGCGGTGGGCAATCAACACCTCAAAAGGCAGCAAAAGGCGCAGGTGACGCACCAAGGCATAAGGTTGCAGCCCATGTTCAGACTTCCGCTGGAATCGTGACCAACTCCCAACATGATTTCTACACCCTCTCAACTAGCTCGAGAGGCTAAGTGACCTTATTGTAGGACCAGGAACCTGGGGCGTACCTATGCAATGGTCTATCCATGTCTAGAGCCGAAAGGGTTCTTCAACGTTCGAACATCAACATCAGGGCGCCCCCAGCCCTACCCCCAACCGCCCGTTCGGCCACTCGTCTCCCTACTCGGTCGTCCGTCCCGGTTGTCCGTCCCGGTCGGTTCACCTTGAAGACCAGTTCGCGAAAGCCGACGGAGGATTGATAGCCTCGGCCGGGGCAAGCATGCACGTCGCCGTGGCTTTTTTTCCACGAAGCTGCCAAGAGAGGTTAAGTGACCTTATAGGACCCTACTGGGGTACCTATGGGATAGTCTATAGGGTCATTCAACCTCTGTTGCTGGTTCTGATCTCCGTGTCTTCGAGGAATTGCCAATGTCCGACTTTGAGATGAACCATTTGGCGACCCAAACTGCGTGTATCTGCTGTGCTCGATTTCGAGAGACCATCTCATTTCTTCCGGGTGGGAACCAACGCAGGGAACGAACCCAGAAGCCGCCTGAGGTCGTGCCTTTGATTGCTGCTTCGGAGCCCAAGTCTCTCAAGGGCTCGCTGGTGGACAAGGTGTCGGGCCAAAGATTGGCGAAGGTGTTCATGTTCCTCGGCTGCAGGGAGTCGGTGGGGAGGCACCCCAGCTCCGGCCAAGCACTCCGGGTTCCGCACGGGGTGCCGGTTCCTGCTCCGCAAAACGGCCGGATGGGCCTCTGAAACACTTCATCTCATCCAAAAAACAGGGGTTCGATTGGAGTTGGGTGCTGTAAATGGAGGGCCTACCAGTGCCCATACTCACTCAGGCACTCAACATCACCACGTGGAACTGGCGTGTGCAAGCTCATTGTTAGTTGAACTGATGCATACGACTTGGACTACGGGCTATTGAAAGAAAGAATTGACTGGAGGGGGGTAGGGCCTAGGAGATCAAACAGAAAAATCATTTGTTGTCCTATGTTTTCTGGGTTCTTGGTCAGAAAAAACAGCTAGGGAGACCTCCCAAGTTTAACCTCCAGGAAAAGAAACAAGCATAGAGCAGCACTTGCAAAACCAAGGAATTTATTGGTTTGGGGGGTCTCCTTGTCCAAATGACCATTTAGGCGCGTCTTTGCGGCCCATGTTATCAATTCGCGCTGTCTAACCCAACACTTCAGGTCAATTGGCCGCTTTTTCCACGCGGCGACGCCGTGCGTTTCTTGTAAAAATAGACGCTCACGGAACTTCCAGCGTTGCAGAACCCCCCCTGCAGGAACCCCAGGGGAGAGAGAAGAAGTCCGTCCACATCCGTCCAGGCCTGATGACCAGTACAGCTGCTTCAGCCCTCTCTCCCTGAAAGGGACCTGGTTCGTCCCAATGGTCGTCATCCATACGATTGGCCAAGGTTCTGGTCGATCTGAATGTTATACCTTGGAAAGAGAGAGGATGACCGGGTCTCTCATTCACTTGACAGGTGTGGTTTTTCCAAATCTCACATCATAACGGCCATATCATACCATGTCGTAGTAGTCTGGATTATATCGTACGAATATCAAACAAAGAATTACGAAATACCTGCAACCTCAAATGAACAAAAAATAATTGTGCATTCAGAAATTCCTGTGCACTACACGTCTTTCAGGAAAAAACACAAAAATCATTTGAAATGCACATTTTCTGATTGTAGCCCTTTGGGCTGTATTGGGTAGCATTTTTCCCACTTCCGAAGCCTGTCGTTCGGTGACAAATGAGCACATGCAGCTTTGTCAGAAGTATTGAGATACCTTTGTGGGTCGAAGGGTGTGCCCATCAAAGGAATGGCGTCCGCTGCTCCCTCAAGAGATTTGGAATGATTTGGAGCTTCTCAAACCGGCAGGGCTCCATTTTGTTGAAGAAAAGTCCCTCGTGACAAATTTGTTCTACCCGGAAATTCCCATCAAATACACGTCTTTCCCACCCAACACACATCTTTCCCTGTCCACTACCCTACAGTTATGAAGCTTATGAATCTGTGGTGGGACATGTTAGCAGGATTTGTCAGAGAGTGAGTTCAAGAAACGCAAGCCACAGGATGCTAGACCGGATCCGTATCAAAATGAAATGAGAGATTCGGAAGTTGAGCTGGAGGCGCAGGCTCCGGCGCAAGTGACAAGCAGGGCCTTCTTGTGTGTTTCAAGACACGACCATGCTCACAGATATGCACAATTTTGTGTTCAAGTGCACAGATTTCCGTAGAGTACACGGAAATCTCCTCCAAAATCAAGTGCACAAAAATGTTTGCCCAATGAAGATGCAGGTATACAGTATAATTGTTAATATCTAAAATATTATGACCTCCCAGGGATGAGTCTCATCCAATAAAAAGGAACTGACCTCGAAGGAACTCACCACCTGAGCTATGTGTGCTTGGGATTTTGCTCGAACCACCGACGGACGCCGTATACCTGCATCACGACCCGGGCGGGCCGTGTGCTGTGCTGCCCAGTGGCTCGAAGCTCGGAACATGAAACCGGATCTCTTTAAAGAGCTCCTGCGAAGTGGGAGAGCTCCAAGCGGATGAAGCGGAGTTGGTTGAAATGCTGCAAGTACATCCCGAGTTGAGGCTGGGGTGCCAAAGGTTTAGACCTGGTGAGGAGCAACTTGGAGCCCAACAAAAAGCTGAACGTTCAATACCAACGCAATCAGTTGTGGTTTCCTACTCATGCTGTTCCTTTCAGATGATGTGGGCAGGGCTCCCAAAAAATAGCCGATGCTCGCCCGCGCAATCGCGACGGCCCAAACGACGCTCCCCTAGCTCCCCTCGCCTCGGCGGTGAAGGAGACCCCTGGCAGGGCGTAGCCCCGCTCCGGCTCCCGCAACTGGGATTCGTCGGCATCTTGCAGTGCCAAAAGACCTGTAGCTGGGAGAAGGGAGTCATGGTGGGAGAAAAGAGTGGATTTGCAAAATAGATCA